GGGGTACCTCAGGGATTTTGTTTAAATCACTATACAGAAGGTGGTGATATTAAATAGAGGTGATGAAAATGGGCAGAGAGAAGTTTCAAGGCTGTAGGCCAGGAATTAATAGTTGTTCTAAGGTCAAGTAAAGGCTGAACTGTCTAGAAACTTTTAAGTGAAACTTCATGTAGGCAGTTGGATATTGAAGTCCAGAACTCAGGGGACAGGTCAAAGTAAAGATATACTTTGGGAGTAATTGGGTTCTATATAGAATTAAAAGCTTTGAGACTGGATAAGACTCACCTTGACTACATAAAGGTAAGTACAAGTATAGGGGAAGAGTGTGTAACAATGTTGTAGTTTTGAGATTATTTTTTAAACTCTCAGAGAGCATGTCTACTCACCAAAGACAGAAAGAGACAGAGATAGAGAGAAAGTATCCCCCAACAGGGCATAATAACACCACAACTCTTCTTTATTTCTTCATCCTGTCAGGATTTTGGGTACATGTACACAGCATGTTTTTTATAACTCCAGGGCTAGAATTACAATTGAAGCTGGCAATGTGAGAATACAACTGTCTTAACCACTAGGCTACAGGGCTGGACCTGTTTCGGAATTTTTTAAAAGAGAGGAATAATGAATTCCATTTTAGCTGCTTAATGTCAAGTAAATGATTATTTAGCTTTTTTATAGTGACATCTATATAGTCTTTGAAAGTATTTATTATCCTCTTGCATAGTGATTTTTTTTTTTTTGGAGAGATTTTCACTGTAGGGCGCGTGCGCTCGCCAGACAGACAGAGAGAGACATAGAGACAGAAAGCGAGAAATCACCCCCCAGGGGGGATGGTCACGCCGCAATCCTTTCTCCTCCATTCTCCCCTCGGGATCCTGGGCACGCACGCACACGCACCCAGCGTGAGTTTCAAGCCACCGGGTCCGGGACATGAACCGCGGTCGACTATGTGGGAGTCCAGCGACATAGCCATTACGCTAACTGCTGGTTCCCCATAGTGATTTAATACTGTGGTATCATTTATAGTTTCTCTTGCTTCTTTTCTTCTACATCAGTGAGCTCTCCGATAGGAAGCACTATACTTCCACTGTCTAGTAGCTTCTCAAGTAAAAAACACTTTTGAGATCTGTTATACCATGAGTACATATAACCAGCCTTCATGATTAACAACTGATTCCATTACTAGAGACACTAGAAAATAACACAATAATAAACCAGCTTCAAATCTCTGAAGAGCATAACCTTAAAAGCTTCTTTCCTTAATAATTCATCTTGGAATTCTTTCTAATAATGAATCAACTTTGAAAAATAATCAGTCTGTGCAGACATTACCAATGATGAATCACATAAATAAGTGCCATGATCTGAATGTTATGCCCCCTCACCCCAGATTATTTTATTGAGGCGATCATGAATGTGATAATATTAGGAGGTGGGGCCTCTAGGAGGCAATCATGTTAAGAAGGTGGGGCCCTCATGAATGGGATTGGTGCATTACAAGGGTCTGAAGAGACTAGAGTTCTCTCTTTACTATATGAGAACACAGGGTGAAGATACCATTTATGAGCCAAAAAGTGGGCCCTCACCAGACATCAAATCTACCAGAACCTTGATCTTGGGCTTTCCAGACTTAGACCTGTGAGAAATAAACTTCTGTTGTTTATAAGCCACTTAGTTTACAATATTTTGTTATAGCAGCCAGAAGAGCCTAAGATACTAAGCCATTAAATTCACATAATCATAAATGACTTCTGAACCATCCTGGTGATTAATTCCCAAATCTGAAAGAAATCTACTTTCATGTCCTTTCAAAGCTGCAACTTATGGTCAGCACTCATTAAATATTTGAATATGTAAAAGAGATAACATGGCTTCAACATATAAATTGGACATTTTTCTTCATCTTTGTATCAGTTTCTTTTACAATTATGTACTCATTTTTATCTGGTGCCTTGAGTACAGTCGGTACTTAATAAAGATTTATTACATGCATGAATGAGAAAAGGAATGCACCATTTCATGGGAAGGATGACTCTTTTCTTCCTCTTCATGAATTTATCTCTCCTATCATGTCTTTAAGTTTATTCTTTGATTACAAAATATTCACTCACTGTGAAAAATGAGTATAAAAAATCAAAAAAATTTTTTGAGAGATTTTTGCAATAGTGAGCATGCACTCACCAGATACAGAGAGACAGAAACTAAGAAATCACCCCCCTGGGGAGATAGGCATGCCTTACTCTCTTCTCCTCCATTTCCCTCTTGGGATTTTGGGCATGCACGCACAGCGTGAATGTGCCCAGTGTGAATTTTAAGCCACTGGGTCCAGAAATGGAACCACCATTGAGTACATGGGAGTCTGGCAATGTAACCATCATGCCATCTACTGGTCCCAAAATCTCTTTTAAAAGTAAATATTTCTCTCTACTTATAACTCAGAGTTGCATTAATTTATTCATTTGACTGGCAGCTCTATGTAGGCGTAGAGAATATCATGATAAACCAAATAGAACCAAGTCCCTGACCTTCCTCTAGTTGTATGCAGCAACACCCTTATGGGCTACAAGTAGAATGGGTCACCATGCAGAAAGTTTCAAATTTATAGGTATTCTTTCTACCTGGATAGTTACCATTTCCCTGAAGTCCTAAGGATAATTTCAGTGATTAGATAATATTAGTATATTTCTACATAGGATACAAAAGTACCCTAATTACCTTTCCAAGTAGATTCTAGGAGCAAATAATTTTCTCATGTGAAAAAGAACAAATACCTTAGTCTTTATACAGAACACTCTGAAGACATATACCTCTAATGCTGGAAATAGGAGATTTAGCTGTGAATAGGTTATTTCAAACCTTTCTGTATAGGTTCATATGTTATTAGGTCATCAGAAAAGTCATGACATATCTTTCAATGTTTTTCTATGCAAAACTGTGTCATGACTTTTCCAACAATCAATATTTACTCAAATGTATCTGAAAAGAGCCACTCAATTAGAAATTATTCAACCATTTTAACTTAATAGTATGATCTATTCCTCTTTTTTTTTTTTTTTGGAGAGATTTTCACTGTAGGGCGCGTGCGCTCGCCAGACAGACAGAGAGAGACATAGAGACAGAAAGCGAGAAATCACCCCCCAGGGGGGATGGTCACGCCACAATCCCTTCTCCTCCATTCTCCTCTCGGGATCTTGGGCACGCACGCACACGCGCCCGGCGTGAGTTTTAAGCCACCGGGTCCGGGACACGAACCGCGGTCGACTACGTGGGAGTCCAGCGACATAGCCATTACGCTAACTGCTGGTTCCCTCTTTTTTTTTTTCATAGAATCTATATCTAGCACTAGGAAAAACGGAGTGTGTAGGAAGTCACTGCTGTCCCCTGACTTTCAGCAGATCATTTATTTCTTGATATCTAGGCATCTATCTGAATAGCAAGAACAGAAGTTACTATTTATCCTCAAAGGGATATAAAATCACTAAATTTCACCCCAAAAGAACTCTGATCATGTCTCACTTACCTCCAAAGGTTGGTTGCCTTCTATTTCTGACGTTTTATCTTTTACTGCCATTCCTTGGGTATTTGTTGTATCTCCTATGAAGTAAAAGAAAAAATACAAACAAATAAAAACTTTACTACACCATTGAGGCCAAGTTGTCTACTGTTTGTTTGAAATATCTTTTATTATTATCTGTTTCACATCAATGGAAGCAACCACTATTTCTTTTGCTACAAAGATAAGCTAATTTTTAAGAACAATAATTTTATAAAAATTTTATAAATTATCCATAAATAAAACCTAAACCAGAAATGTATCCTATTTTATACAGTTTTACTCTGGAAATGTCAAATGATTTAATATTTTGTAAACCAAGTCATATTTTAAACCAACTAGGAAAGCTTATGAGTTCAGGCAAATTACCTTAAAATAAAAACTCTTTATAATATAAATAACTATTCTCCAAGTTAGTTTTTTATAAGCTTTATTATTTATAAGTGCTTTTTTGGGTCCCTGTGGATTTGCCTCAGAGGAGATAGCTATGTTTATATGTAATAATTAACCATATGCCAGACAATCTTTATAGAAGAAAAGAATAATAAATGCATAAATTAGACTTTGTTTAACACTTTGATTGCTAAGGCTAGAACCTGGGTTATATTATTATATGAAGTTGGTGACCAGCCTAGTTCAAAGCACATAGGACAGACACAAACATAGGTAGGTGAATATAAGCATAATTTAACTTATTAATAATAGCTTATGTTACTAAGACATGATAGGTAATGGCTACCGATTAGCTTACTTCTTTAAAGCACAAAGAATAATTTAGCAATTTGTAAATTGCTCTTCCCATAAAACTAAGCAAGCTCAGAACTGTCCACGATATAGAAGATTACCAAATTCATAGATAATCACCTGGCTGACAATGAGGGTTAGGAAATTGTTAATACAAGTAAAGTCAAGAGTCCTGATTAGAGATAACAAGATATGAAAACCTTGACTGAGCCAAACTTTTCCATAAGAAACACAAAGTTTAGTTTATCAATAACTATCATTAAGGAAGAACCTCATGAACAATTTAAAGGATTAAATATAATCCAGTTAAACATTAAAATCAAGAAGCAAGAATTAAATTGGTAGTTAATATACTTAAGGTAAAGTAATTCCCCACAATGTTCATAGTCTAAGCAAATCAATATATACTTTAGGTTATCAACTTTGTTTTCAATTATGTGCAACTTTACAATTGTTGGGCAGGGACCCATGCATAATAGTGTTTAGTAAATACTAGTTGAATAAATTAGTAAACTTCTTTTTATAGTTTCTCATCAATAAAACTGTGACAAAATAAGACAATATTTAACTAAGACTGTACTTGAGTATATATAGTCCCTTTCTTCTAAAATATGTGGGAAAAACTTAAAAGGCAAACTTATTAACTATGATTTTAGTATATTGGTAATAGTAATGTATAATTGTGGTATAATTTATTAGATTTTAAAACAAGTCTAATGATTTCTTTTAAATTCTATTGAGACAAAGATATAGGCAATATTGGTTCATTTCTATAAAACAATAAAGTTAATTGTTAAATAAAAAATTAAGTCAACTTACTCTTTTTTTTTTTTTTTTCTGGAGAGGTTTTTGCTATAGGGCGTGTGCGCTCGCCAGAGAGACAGAGAGAGACAGAGAGACAGAAAGCGAGAAGTCACCCCCCAGGGGGGATGGCCACACCACAATCCCTTCTCCTCCATTCTCTCCTCTCGGGATCTTGGGCACGCACGCACACGCACCCGGCGTGAGTTTAAGCCATCAGGTCCAGGACTTAAACCACAGTCGACTACATGGAAGTTCAGTGACATAGCCGTTATGCTAACTGCTGGTCCCAAGTCAACTTACTCTTGTGATCTAGGATGTCAAATAACTATTTTGATTGATTTTTAAGAGTGACTATTTACACTTACTCTCAGCACACCAAGAAGAGTCTTATTTTCAGAAATCCTTCTTCTCTCTGCAAGTTAAGGATAAGGTCATTCCATCCACTATCTACAGGCAGAGGAACCAATGCATGAGGAATTTAGTTTGCATGGTTTTAGGCATAAGACTACAGTAAGACCATGAGCAGCCATGGTAATACAAATCTCTCTATATAATAAATACGTCATGGCTGTACTTATTAATGAACATGTGTGATGTTTATAAGGAAATACATATAACTCTATGAAAGACCATTTACTCTCTTTAAAATGATTGCTGCTCTATCCATAGCCACATAAACATTGTTTGGCTAAAATCACCTACCATGGTCTGTGCTTCCTTTGCTATTTTCTGATTTTTAAGATGTGCATCTATACAAAAGTTTCTCCATTTCTCGTTGCTGCTTTAAAAACCAGAAGGTTTATCAGCCAGTGCTTTTGGTATCGTGCAGCACATCTGCCTGGAAGCAATTGTAGAATCACCATTTACTGAAATGCCATGTCTGGAGATGACTCAGATAGGACAATAACTGATTACAAGGAAAATTGCCATCTGCAAGATTATTTCTGTATAAACAAAGGCACCAAGTGAAAGCTAAATACACAAACAGAAAAGAACAGATCATAATGAATGTAATTTTTGAAATATTTTTCTCCCATTAAGGAATTAATTTATCATGATAAAAGTTTAGTTGTTTTCTATACTTTCTATAATCCATGTAAAAGTTAAAATGTAACAAAAGACAAAAATGGATGCAAAAAATGTAAAACAAGGTACTTTAGCTTTTAAATATCAATTAGTTCTAACTTACATGCTGAATGGTCAAATATTCCATTTGTAAGTTTAAAAACTTAAATAAATAAACAACATTTTCACAGTACTTGACTTCTCATAAACTTTATTTTGAATGAGAGATAGAATTAAAGAATCTGGGAGAGAGATTTTCAACAAGATCTTGCAGTGCCCCATCCTCCTGCCCAGGTTCCCATTCAGCTAGGATTTCAAGTGTGCACCACTACACCTGGAATGTTTAAGTTGGTTGGGAGTTGAACTTGACCTTCCATGCAGCTCCAAGCTCACACAGCAGCATTCCACCTGTGCCGCCATGACCCAAGGCTGGGCCATTAAACTTTTTTTTTTTTTTAAACTTTTTGCCATAGGATGTGTGCACTCAGCAGAGACAGATCGAAACACAGAGAGAGGGAACGTAAAAAATCACCCTCCAGGGAAGATGGCCAAGCCACAATCCATTCTCCTTCACACTCCTTCTAGGACTTTGGGCATGCACGTACACACACCTGGTACATTTTCGAAGCCACTGGGTCCAGGACTCGAACTGCACATTGGCCATGTGGGATCTAACACCTTAACCACCATGCTACCCACTGGCCCCATAAAGCCTTCTTTAAAACATCACATTGATTACTTCTGGGCAGGCACAGTAAGATATCTCCTTCCTCGTACTTTTCAGGTGGTTGAGCCCTATCAGGGGCAGACGCTGTCGGAGACTTGCCCAAGGTCTCCCAGGTAGAAAGCAGTCACAGTGATAGCAGAACCTAGTCTCTGATATCTACAGTGACTCTATGGTATGGTGTAAGGTGACAACAGATTGGGGCTTAGATGGGAGGAATCAAGTCTTTGAGTTAGTGCGGAGTGTGAAGAGAAGAGTTAAGGGCCCAGAACTGGAACTCTGAAGACAGGATCTTGTATTGTCCAAACCCTGGGCCCCTCAGATACTTCTCTCTACTCATTTTTGTTTCTACTTGCTCCACGGATTATCTGTCTTATTCTTCTCTTTCCAACAGTAAGGCAAAATATTTCCAACTATAGAAAGCCTATGTCCCTCCTTCCAGTCCTTTAAAGCAAACACACAGTCCTCTTGATATTCTCCAGAAGTATGTAAGGCAGAAACCATTTTACAAGAGGCAAAATTCCTTTCATACCACGGCCATGCAATTTTCTTTGTTTAAAATGTAGTTTTTATTTAGAGTGACGAAATGATAAAGGTTACATATACATACTAATGAAGCTCTTTCATAACTTAAAGGAACAAAGTGAAAGTCACTCTATTTTTGATGAGGGGTTGATAAAACTGTCTGTTAAGAATGACAGTAAACATTTTAGGCTTTGCAGGCCATATGGCCTTTGTCACAACTTTATAAGTCTACCTTTGTGACCAAGAGCAGCCACAGAATGTATCCCAACTAATGACTGTGGTTGTGTTTCAATAAATTTTGTTTACAAAAAACAGGTGGTAGGCCATGGTTCTCCAGTCTCTGTTTTAGAGGAATATATGTACCTTACCTTTTCTGGCATTAAAAGTTGAATGATGTTTGAATGATATGAGGAAATGGGAAAGGGACAATCATTAAGGGTATCATAACAATCACATTCTACTGGGTAAAGATGTATCAAGGGATAGGAGGAATAAATAATGAAGAGTGAGTAGTACATACTAGGGGAAGAAGAAAAAAAAAGAAATCGCTAGGATGGGAGGTGAGCCGAATGCAAGCTTGGACCACCCAGGGGCAGCTTGTCTGGAGGGGTTGTTGGTGGGTGGGTAAGGCAGCAGACACATGGGTCCTACTCCCTGTGCTTCCTTCAGTGAGGAGGAAGCTCAGCTAACATTCATTCTGGGCTTCTCTCTACTTTCCTCTTGTCCATGGTCTGGAGATTTTGGGAGGATTTCACTGAAAGTAATTTTGCCCTTTCTTCTTCCCCTTCTCTTGAGAATGGAAGGAGAACAGACAGTACACTGCTTTTTCTGCTCTGATTGTCTGCAGAGATCTCCTCCTACTTGGGAAAGCATGCCCTACCTAAGCAAATCATGTAACTGAGTGGAACTCAATCTAATTCAGGAATTCAAATTAGGAAACCCATTTGTTCCCTGATAGAAGCCACATTCTTCAACACCAACTTTACAGGTAATAAAGGTGAGTATCTGTCTCTTTCTGTTCCTTTTTTGTCCCCTCCATGGGCCAGATTTCATCTAGGGAAGAGACTTGTTATTATTGGCAAGCCCTTCAGCCTAACAAGACTGAGAATTGCTGATGTGGACTGGGTTGGAGCCTGCATGCACACAAAATGCTGTGAATACAGAAAACTGTTTTCTTCT